GTCCCTGGCCAGTCTGCCTTCTTTGCTACGCTTTTTAAAGTCTCCATATGTTTCCTTTATATATAATATCTAGTGTCTTAGGTTGTACTGAGCAGGAAGAATAGGAAAAAGTACTTCTATTCCAACTTTCTGGAAGCAGAGGTGTACCTTAGCGTTGAGTATAATTTCTTGTACATTGCATTCTACATTAGACAGTTTTTGTTTTTACGCTCCTTCCTTCAACACCGTGAAGATACTGTCTCACTGCCTTCTGACCTTGGGGTGAGGAACCTAGTTTCTTTATAGGGAATTTTTCCATTCTTCCTGCCTTTATAGTCTTTGTTCTTCCGTTTCACTGTGATGATGATATGTTTAAGTGTGGACTTACTCTTATTTCTCCTTCTCATGGTTCACAGTTATTTTTGATCTGACAGTCCTTTTAGTTTTAATTCTGTTGAAATTCTTAGTCATGATTTCTTTTAATATTGGCTCTATACTACATTCTCTATTTTTCCATTCCCAAACACCTGTTAGACCTGTATTGGATCTTTTCCTTCAATCCTCCATATTTCTTAAATCCACATGGTTTCCTCTCCTCGCAACTCTTTGTTCTGCCTTCTGGTAATTTTCTTCAGTCTCTAGTCCAGTTCATAAATTTTCTCCTCATTTTTATTGATTCCTCTTTTTAACCCATCCATTCATTAATTTTAAAGACTACAATTTTTATTTCTGGACACATTCTAGAAATCTAGCTATTCTTTCATATTATTGCATTCTTATAAATTAAATTCCTTTTTTATGGTATTTGTCATCTTGAGTAGACAGTTGACCCATGAATAACACAGGCTTGAACTGCGCAGGTCCACTTCCACATGAATTTTTTTACAGTGTGGTAATGTAAATGTATTTTCTCTTCCTTATGATTTTCTTAGTAACATTTTCTTTTTTCTAGCTTGTGAGAATATAGTGTATAATACATGTAACATGGAAAATATGTGTAAATCTACTATTTATGTTGTCAGTAAGGCTTCCAATCACCAGTAGACTATTAGTAGTGAAGTGTTTGGGGAGTCGAAAGTTATATGTGGGTTTTTCAACTACACAACATGGGATGGGGGAGGGGAGTAGTGTCAGTGCCCCTAACCCCTGTGTTGTTCAAGGATCAACTGTACTTTATTAAGTTCTTCTTTTTTTTTTAAATCAAATTCTTGGAAGCATAATCTGTCTGCAGATGGCTGACTCACTTGTGATGGATTGTTTCCTTGAGTGTTTTGTAATTTTAGATTGTGAGCTCATCTTCAAGGAGCTGTAAATGTGAGAATCCTGTGTGTTCTGCCAAAGTAATTCTTCCAGGCATCCTAGTCATGTCACTTTCATTTTTATTGTTGCTCATTTCTTGATTTAGAGGTTCATTGTCCACATGGTTATTTAAATTTGAATTTCAAACTCACCTATCATACAAGCCCATGATCAAAGGGAAATGTTTTTCCCATTCATTAAGAGGCCAGGCAGAGTGAAAGAAGGCTCCTCGTTTCCCTGAGCTAGTGAATAGATTTTTTCCTCCAGCCTACCCTTTCACTTCAGGCTGAGCTTTGAAAAGAACTCAGATTTAGCTCTCTACTCATACCTCCTTCACATGGGCGCAAACTCTTATGCTCTGTCCCACACACGTTTTAAACTCAATACTGACGCATCTGGGCCCCTACTGCTTTTTTCTGTTTCTTCTCTTTCCCAAGCATATAGAATTTTCCTTTCTTTCCTAAAAGCTCAGTTATGCATTTTTTTTTTAAATGTGGTATATTTTATCCAGCATTTCTAGATGTTTCACCCAAAAGGATTTTCAAACAAAAAGGTTTTCTACTATATTATGAATACTTACCTGTTTGAGCTACAAGAGGTAGAGTATGAAGAGTTTGTTGGAGGGTTGTCTGGGTGGCTCAGTTGGCTAAGCATCTGACTCTTGGTTTCAGCTCAGGTCACAATTTCAGGGTCATGAGATCAAGCCCCTCATCAGGCTCTGCACTCAGCGAGGAGTCTGCTTGAGATTCTCTCCCTCTCTGCCTCCCCCCGCCCCCCCACTCTGTCTCTCAAATAAATAAATCTTAAAAAAAAAAAGTTTGATGGAGGAATTTTTACATGTGGATATTACATGTCTCACTTGTCTTTTGTCCAGCAAGGTGCAGTTCAGTGGATATGTTACTCTTTTGCCTGTTGGGAGCTATGGTACAATCTAGGTAACAATTACCATAATAAAGTACATTTAAGCAAAACTTCCAAAGCAGAAAATAACCAGTGGAACAAGAATCAAGCTAAAGTCTATGTCTAGATATATGAGTTTTTGTTCCAGGATCACACAGATTTGTGATACTCATTTTTCTGTGTACATATGAAACGTAAGAAACATTTCAGTTTGCGAATACAAATTATTTTCTTTGCCAGTATTTATTGTTTCCTATATATTGGCAGCATCTTTATTTGGCTCTCACCTTTTTCTGTTTGCAACTTATATGATTGACTCTTGAACAGCAAAGGGGTTAAGGGCGCCAGCGCTCAGCACAGTTGAAAACCCACATATAAATTCTGACTCCCCGAAAACTTAACTCCTAATATCCTACTGTTGACTGGAGCCTTACTGATAACATAAACAATCAGTTAACATGTGTTTCTTATATTATATGTATTATATACCATATTCTTAAAATAAAACAAGCTAGAGAAAAGAAAATGCTATTAAGAAAATCACAAGGAGGGGGGCACCTGGGTGGCTCAGTCGGTTAAGCATCCGACTCTTGGTTTCAGCTCAAGTCATGATCTTGTGGTTGTGGGATCGAACCCTGAGTAGGGCTCTACACTCAGTGCAGGGTCTGCTTCAGATTCTTTCTCCCTCCCCCTCTATTCCTCTCTACTCATGCTCTCTCTTTCTCAAATAAAATCTTTAAAGAAAATCACAAAGGTGGGGGGGAGCACATGGGTGGCTCAGTTGGTTAAGCGTCCAACTCTTGGTTTTGACTCCGGTCATGATCTCAGGGTTGTGAGATCGAGCCCTGAATCAGGCTCCACACTCAGCACAGAATCTGCTTGAGATTCTGTCTCTACCTCTCCCTCTGCCCCTTCTCGTGAGTGCATGCTCTCTCTGTCTTAAATAAATAAATCTTTTTTAAAAAGAAAGAAAATCACAAGGAAGAGAAAATACATTTATAGTACTGTACTGTAAAAAATCCACAATAAGTGAAACCATGTACTTATTCAAGGGTCAACTTTACAGTGTATTGGGCTTTATATTTTAAATAGAAGAAGATATTGAACAAAACTGAGAAATTCCAGTGTTTTCATTTTAACCTGGCAATCTTAACCTTTGATTTCTTAGGTTATGAAAGCTGTTCAATGAACATGACTAGATTTGGCATGTTTTATTTTGTGTGTCTATGTAGAAAAATTACATAAGATTTGCCATTTTCCCCATTCTTAAGTCTGCAGTTCGTTTGCATTAAGTACATTCACGTTGTTGACAGCCATTGCCACAATCTATCTCCAGAACTTTTCATCTTTCCACACTGATACTCATGTCCATTAAACAGTACCTCCTCATTCCCCCCTTCCCTAGCCACTGGCAGCCACGATTCTACTTTCTGTCTCTGAATCTGACTACTCTAGGTACATTATGTAAATGGAATCTACAGTGTTTCTCCTTTTGTGACTGGATTGTTTCCCTTAGCATAATGTCTTTGAGGGTTATCCATGTTGTAACATGTGTCAGAATTTCCTCATTTTCAAGGCTGAGTAATATTCCAGGGTATGTTTACACCATATTTTGTTTATCCATTTATCTATAAATGGATACTTGGGTTGCTTCTTTTTGGCTACTGTGAATAATGCTGCTGTGAACGTGAATGTGGCATGCTTTAAAAACATGTGGTGAGAAACATAAAACTTGTTATTTTTAAATGCTTACAATTCTAATAGCATTATCCTATAAGTTTATTGCCTGTAACCATGTAAAAATCATGAGAGGTTAAATAGGCTTCATCTTTGAGTGATGATTAATATAGTTCTGAAGAAACAGGTCCCCCTAAGTGTCAGCAAATAAATAGGCTGTTTGGACTTACGTGGGGGAGAGAAGGAGCCAGGGCTAGGAGAGCTCGGTCTGGGTTTGGAAAAGGTATGTGGAGGTAACACTTTCAGAGGTGCAAACCAGGGAACCAGGGACACAGAGCAGGGTCTTCAGGGCCTCAGAATGAGTCCAGCAGCGGGGGGTTTGCGGTGGTGGGTTCTGATCAAGGTGTGAGGGGTGGGGGAGGGAGCTCCTGTCTCAGCAGAACTAACGTTCTTTGCTAGCAGAAAAAGCAAAATTAATCAGTAAGGCAGCGTGGGGCTACTGATGCTACATCATGCTAATTCAATTAACAAATTCTGGAGAGTCTTCATTTCCATTTTATGGAAAATAATATTCCAAATTAAATATATTACTCTGTGTAAAGAAGAAATGAAGAATTCTTTTTACACTGAATGAGACAAATTTCCTACTTTATTCAAAGGACGGCTTAAGCCGTCCTTCCCTCAAGGTGCAGATAAGGAAATAGAAGCAAGACCACAAAAATCTGCAAGGGTGGGGGAAACATACCTGTTTTTAAAAAAGAAGAAGGGTGTGGACTTCTCAAAGCCTAGAAGTTTCCCAGGGTTCTTCTTTTGTACAGAAAACACTTGAAACTTCTAGACTATTTTTGTCCCTGCTTATTCATATTTCTTTGAATAATGACTAGCAAAGGAATGAATTTTACAAGAATAGTCTTCAAACTTCCAACATCAAAGGAAGTTTTCCCATGAGCAGTGTTTGGAAAACCACTGAATTGGCATGTAAAGCCAAATATCAAAAAGGTGAAAATGTAAGTTGACATGTTTTTTGTTGTTTTCACAGAATAGTTGCCTCTTTTTTCTGTTAAATTAACAAGTAAGATTTTATTAACTTTTTTTGATCATAGTCTAAGAATAAATTTGTAGCACATGTTTTAAAGTTATTTTTCATGGTCTCTTTTTGTTTTTCAGATTTTTTGTTTAAGTTCTTGGTTATTGGAAATGCAGGAACTGGCAAGTCTTGCTTGCTTCATCAGTTTATAGAAAAAAAATGTAAGTGACATCAGAAAAAAAATGTCGGTGTTTGATGCATGTCTTCCCGTGAGTGCTCTCTTGCTCAGATTTGTTTATAGCAAAACTTCTGAATATTATTTCAGGAAAAAAGTTACAGCTTAAAAGTATGTTAAAGTAACATTAAAAGTTTATGTTATATTAAACTTCTAGCAGTATGACTGAGTTTTTATTATTTCAGTTTTATGGTGGTTCATTGTTCAATATATTATCATACTGTGCATTGTCCAGATACTCCAGTACATTGCAGATATTGAAATACAACAGGGTTAGGCAGAAGGCCACAGAGGACTTTGCTTCCCTGACAGGGAGCTGCCCAAGAAGCCCGAGTAGTACATTGTAGATAAAACAGTCCTGTTGGGTCCTCGGTGGCTTGTACTGTAGTGAAGGCAGTTATTGTCATCAGTTCTGGTTTGCAGGTTCAAGAAGCAGCTTTAGAGCAGTTAGGGGGTGTGTGCCCTTGGGATGGTCCCCTAGAGTTGGTTAGACTCAAGTCCAGGTCTTTTGACCACAGACCCATCTTGTTGCGATTGGCTTGCACTGTTTTGGTAAGGGAAATTGAATGTTTAATTCCAAAGTATTGTAAAAGACTTGTAAGTTTGAAAGCCCCTTAAAATAAACAGTGCTTTTACAATCATGAAAAGAATTGTGGAGGATGACCTGTTTCACGGCAGTCAGGTGAAAGCACAAAAACAGATTTACTTTCACTGAACTGCAGTGCATCTTAAGCATGTGCGCCTGAATGGTGGTGGGTAAAATGGGGAAACAGACAGCAGAGGAAGTCCTTGGCAAGGAGCTTTGAAGAATAAAACTGTAGAAATATATTCTGCTACTTCCGTTTTCATTATCCAAGAGCTTGTTGGGACCTCTGTTTAGTGACCCGGAGCCAGCGTGGGTTAGTCACGGAGCCAGTCCTCGCTGAATGAGCAAGTATTCACTCACTGGGGGAGTCCAGGTCTCTTCACAAGTTGCCAAGACTGCATTGTAGCATCTCAGAAAAAAATGCCCCAAGGATATTGGGTCCAGAACCCGCCTCCTTATCTTTGCATCCTCCCCCTGTGGCAAGCTCTCCCTTGACAGTCCTCCCCTAACTCCTCACCAAGGAGATGGGTATGTGTGTTGGGTTAGTCTGCATGGTCTACAGCATGATGGGAAAGGCTTCACTTTATTCGTCTTGTGGCCATGCTGTAACCAGGACGCCCTTGGACTTTAGCCATCACCCTTGAGGCTTTTACTCTGAGGTTTCTTGGTAGCTTGAATTCTAGAATGTCCACACTAGTTCCACATCATCTGAGACAGGCTGGTGTGGTCAGTATTAACCTGTCATCCCCCCACCCCTGGCCCCAGGAAACACTTACGGTTCATTCTAGGTGGGTTTAGTGAGCTACTTATTTTGCCTGCCTCCCAATACAGATAGTATTGACTTCTCCAACAAATTCATTCCAAATTACTGCCACACAATCCTCAAATTCATGCAAACTCAACAGCTATCATATGCTCAGAATTTTTGTTGTTTGGTTTTGTTTTGTTTTGTTTTGTTTATCTTCTCCTCTTTTTCCCTTAATCTTTGGTATCCATCAAGTTTCTTTTGGGGGCTACAGGAAGTACTTTTCCTTCCCTTTTATTTCTTTGGACTATTTATCCATTCAAATAGTGGAAACGGTCACCACCTCGTTCCTGACTGAGTTGCAGTCTGTCACTGGGCTCTAAGCCCTTTAGGCTGGCACCCAGGTATTTTGTGCAGTCCCTGTGTGTGAGTGCCCTCCCAGTGGACAGGTAGATATGATTCTCATGTGGCATAGCCACTTCCAAGCCTAGGCTTTAAAATGAATGGTTTGCTTTAGGGGTTTTGTGAAGGAGCCTTATCGTCTCTTTCAGAATAGGAACTGTATGTGTATTCTGTTTAAAACAGTGAGTGCTTCTTATCAACTGACTATTGGAGAAATGAAAGGCTACAGTAAATTATATTTCCATTGACTTTAACCCTTGATTTTGCTTGTTTAAATCTGTATGTCTGTTTCTTTAATGTTCTAAAATAAATATCTTGTTCTTTTTCTTTTTCAGTCAAAGATGACTCAAATCATACAATAGGAGTGGAATTTGGTTCAAAGATAATAAATGTTGGTGGTAAATATGTGAAGTTACAGATATGGGATACAGCAGGCCAAGAACGATTCAGGTAGCTTTCTCTCTGATTTAATAAAAATATTTAAAAATTGGATTTGAAATAACCAATTATAGTCTCTTCATATATATAGTTTCCTCCTCCCTGCACAGATTTCAGAAACTTCACCTCTGGAAGCTTTAAGACAAGCTAAAAGTCAAGTTTTCTCCATGCAGCATTGATTTACTAAAGAATGCATTCGAATCTCTCGAGTGAGCGCACTCTAACGTAGAGGCTAATTTATTCTTTGGGACCAGTGACTACACTGGGAGGACGTGGCATTGCGTATCCTGCAGTAATACTTTTAGATTAAAATTAAGGCAAAGTAATAGCACAGCAGTTTTTCTCTTTCACTTTTAAGGGAGAATTTTTAAAAACCTCTTTTGACATTTTTGTTTGTTTGTTTTATACTAACTAGAGCATGTTCTGATGGTTGATACACATTCCACCAAATATTCTCTCCTGCACATTTTTATTACACTACAGTCATAATTGATGTTTGGGCAGACCACTGCAGATGAAGTTACATGTTTAATATTCTGTAAGTACTAAAGCAAGAAAGTGGATTAATATTAATATTGTAGTAGTGGTGTTTGAACAGATACACGAAGTCAAAATAGAACAGATATGCACAGTCTTAAAATTCAGTTAAGTAAAACTCACTCTCACTTATAGCATTAAAGTCAGGTGTATATTATATTTGAAATGTTCAATAATTGTTTGCTTCAAAATCTTTAATCACAATCATTTCTTCTGGAACCACTGATTAAACATTGTGGATTCAATCCAGACTTATGTTTTCTCCCCCCAAACCCTTGCTGAAATGACTCTAAAACAACTGAAATGGCATGAACTCACAAAGACCCAGAAAGGGGGAGTACATAGTTATGATGAAGAGATTTCAAAAAAAAAAAAGCGTAGCGATAAGGAGTGGATGGTGACTGACTGAAAGCCGAGGGAGCTGCGCCTTAAGTGCCTGTAACAGGGGAAGGCCAGCGAGCTGGAGGCCCATTCTTCCCGCTGAATCCGGGAAAAGGTCAGGCTGAGGAAGCACCGGGTTCTGCAGGAGGGACGGTTAGTGCTTCCATATGCGTGTGCATGCACCCACCTGAGCAGAAGTTCAGTCTCTGAGTTGAAGCAGGGTCAGCGTGCATCATAAGGCCCAGCAGAGGCAAGGATGAGGGAGGGACTGAAAGGAGGGAAATTAGTGCAAGTCTGCACCCCCTAGCCCCCCTCCCCCACCTCTTTCCAGTTGCTGGCAGCCAGGTGTATATGTACTCTCAGGCAGGAGAAACAGAAAAATGAATAGCTCCAAAGGAAAGGCCTAAATATACTAACATTTTGGCTTCCCCAATAAAACAGCCTAATCTCTGTAATTTTCTACCAAAGAAATGAGATCCCAGATGTATTGGGCCCACCTCACACCAGATACAAATGAATGGGGGGAACAGTTCCAACTAGTGTATATCAGGTGACATTTCAGAGGACAAGGATGAAGTGAAGATACAAAAAGATCCCAAGAAGAAAAACAGTCACCTTGAAGGACTAGCAAAAGGAATTGCATTACACTGTTCAACAGCAACTTTCGGAAGCTAGAAGATACTGAAGCCTTGCCCTCCTAACTCAGCATGGAAAATTCCTTTCCAGCCTAAATACTAAACTTAGCCAAACTGTCAGTCAAGTGTGAGAATAAAGTCAGAAGGCCTTTAGATATTCAAGTATAGGGGAGAAACATAGGTTATCTTTTCACGTATTCTTTCTTAGAAACTTCAGGAGGATATACTTCATCAGCACAAGGAAGTAAACCCTGAAAGAGGAAGGTGAAGTTCAGCCAACAGGGGACCCAGCCGGGGAGACGAGCCAGGACACAGGTGTCACAGGGCGGCCGTCAGGAGAGGGTGCTGCCTGACAGGGGGAGGAGGAGGGGGAGATGCAGGGAAGGGGCTGGGAGCGTACGAGTGAGATAGAGTCTTACCAAAGCAGGAAGGCAGTAAGCCCTGAAACTCGTAAGTCAGATAGTTTCATAAGCATTTTATAGAAATATGGAAGTAAATACCAGAAAAACAAAACTAAGATCCATGGAAGTAGGGACATTTGTATTTTGTTGTTATTGCTTCTCCAAAGCCCAGGGTAGAATCTAGTACATAGATGTTTAACGTGTATTCCGTTAATGACTTAATTTAGGAAAAAAAATCAAATCCAGAGGCCTTGGGAGTGGGGCTCCCGGGGAAGAGTGAGGCAGGAGACTGCAGACTTTCACGTCGGGCCTGTTAGCAATATTTGCTTTCCAAACTAGGTGCCTGTATTACTCTGGTTTAAATTACTTTTGAGAAAATTAAATACCTCAAAAAAGTACTTTTCTTAAGCATTTAACTTGTATACTTGAGTAATTTGTTAGACCCCATGTGTCAGGGTACAGTGAAATAAATGACTTAGTAGCAGATGTAATTTAGTTTCTCTTGAGAACTCTTACATACCTCTTTCTCTAGAAACCTGCTGGTTTCTAGAAACTAAAACAGAAAAAGAGTTGTCTCTTCACATATGTGGAAAAGAGCCCTCCCCCCCCTTGGAGAGGCGACCCCGGGAAGAACTAATGATCTGATCCTGCTCACGCGGTGCCTGTCTGCCATTTCTTAAAGCATATGCCCCTCTGTAGAGCAATCTAAAGGTAGAAAGGGGAAGCTTCAGGCTACCTATCTGCCTTTGGAGTTTAGGAGCTAAAAATACATTTAAAAATAGCTGCCCTTTTCAAAGTATCAAAGTCATAATGAGTCCTTTTGTTTATTGTTGATAAGGTCCCCAGTTCTCTTTTTGCCCTAAAGGGAGGCAGTGTTCTGTGGTGCCTATTTTCTGACACCAAATTGGCTGGGGGGAGGGGGGGGCGGGGAGGCGGGCAGGGTTTTCCATACCAGCTCCAGTTCTCTAACACCAACTCTGTGGCCAGTAGTTCAACTTAATTCTGATTCTCTGAAGTTAACATCAGGTCCCAGAGACTAAGGGTCCCATCCCACAGACCTGCTCCCACTTCATACACCAGTCACAGGTTCCCATGACCCATCCCCCAGGTTCAATAATCTGTTAGAGTGACTCACAGAACTTAGAAAAAGCACAGTATTTATTGTCGCCAGTTTATTATAAAGGATACAACCCAGGAACAGCCAAATGGAAGAGATGCATTGGGCATTGGATATAGGAATTGAGTGCTGAGCTCCCATGCCCTCTTTGGATGCACTACCCTTCCAGCACCTCCAAGTGTTCATGAGCTCAGAAGGTCTCTAAACTCCATCATTTAGGGTTTCTTTTTGAGGTTTCAGTAGGTAAACAGGACTGACTAAATCATTGCCCCTTGGAGATTGAACTCTATCTCCAGCCCCTGAGCACAGGGAGCCTTGTAGGTCTTGATGAGGAGTTTGGTTGCTCAGGAGAATAGACTGAGGGACACAAGTGGCAGTGGGGACATGCATGGTAGTGGGGACACCAGCCATAGGTGACTGCAGGGGTCCAGGCAGAGACTTGGTGATTTGGATTATGATGGTACCAGTGAAGATGGCGGGACATGCACAATGTAGGATACGTTCAGTTAGTGTGACGGAACCTGACTGATGGGTCCAATACAGAGGTGGGCAAAAAGAGGAGGCGAGGATAAATACAGAGCTTTCTGGCTGTGTGAACAGAGGGATGGTGGTGCCCAACCTCACCCCAAACCAGGATGGACCTGCAGGCTGGGAAGCAGAGTGTTCTGTCTTATAAATGTGAAGTACAACACGTTCACTAGGCAGTCATATGGAGATGTTGGGGCAACAGCTGGATCTTACAGAAGGAGGCTGAGCTGAAGATGACATTGGAGTCCAGGTGTGAATAGAAAAGAAAACCCAGAACTGAGCCCCAGCACTGAGGAACTCCGGTATAGACAGGGCAGGCTCAGAAGAAGGACCCAGAGCTGGAGGAGGAACGCTGGCTGGTGGGAGAGGAGGAGGTTGTGGCTGCAGAGGTGCAGCGGGGGAGGCATCCGGGGAGGGGCGAGGCAAGGTGGAGGGATGAGGACCAAGAAATGCCTCTGGGCTCAGCACTGCGGAGTAGGGGACATAGACCGGAGACGAGGTGAGGAGAAGGAAACAGCAAAGACAACTCTTCGGAGGAATTTAGATGCAGAGAAGAGCTCTGAAAGGATCACGCTGCATATCTTCATGTATTTTAAGGTGGGAGGTACCAGAGCACATTTTATGTTGCTAATGGGGAAAAAAAACCTAACAAAGAGGGAGAGACTGATAATACAGGGGAGAAAGTGTTACTGAAAGTAACCCGCAGGACCGTGAAAACGGCTAAGACGTTCAGAGGCACTCGGTGGAGACAGGTAAGATAGATAAAGCCATGTTTCCTTGTTAGTAAGTGGGGCGAGGCAAAAGGTGAGTGCGGGGGGTGGGGGCAGGTAGTTGGCTGTGGGTTCCTGGTTGGAAGATGAGCCAATTCCCCTCCGCGGACTTTCCTTTTCCCTGGGAAAGAGTAGGGAGCAGCTCTGCAGGGACATGGGGAAGACCTGGAACCCCCAGAGGAAGCAGAGTAGGATTGCTGAGCACTTAGTGTCCATCTAGCTCTCTCAAGTGCTTCGCCTCTCCCTGTAAGTTCAAAGATAATCTTAACTTCTGTGGGAGAGTTTCATCTACCTGTTAGAAAATGACATATTTGTCTCAGCCTAACGTCCCCCCACTTCCTAGCATTTCTGTGACATGACTTCAGACAGGAGCCCCTCATACATACATTCAGATGTCTGAATCATTTCTGTTTTAAGCAACGTCTGTCCCCGTGTCAAGGTTTACAAAGAAAAATGGGTGACAGTGCTCAGTAGTAAAGGATCTCGATTGGCTGGAAGTAAAAGCAGTATAATTCTTTCAGGTCTGTGACGAGAAGTTATTACAGAGGTGCTGCAGGAGCGCTCCTCGTCTATGACATCACCAGGTAATGTGAACTCCCCCACGGGGAGGCAGCTTGGGGCTCTGCTCCCCAAAGTCTGGTCTTCCCAAGACGCACCTGCGTGTAGTGTGTGTTTTGCGTGTCAGGGAAGGCAGTGTGGCTGGGAATCTAGAATCCCCTCAGTCCTTTCATTTGGGGTCTTAGAGGTGTTTGATTCAACCCCTACCACTACTTAACCGGTAAGGAAATCTTTGGGTGAGGTTTTAGATACATAAAGCATCCCTAGTGTTTCATTGTGTTTTTTAGCATGATGCTTTGATGCTTTGATATATTCCTCAAGGTTCACAAAGTGAAAGTTTACGTATGGTAAATTATTAGAAGTAATTGACATCGATGAAAGTTGAGGGCACAGGCTTTGCGCCCCGATTGCCTGGGCTCAGACCTCAGGTGCAGGTTACTAGCCGTGTGATGTCCTCGGGCAAGGTGCTCTAGCTCTCTGGACTTCGGTTTCCCTGTCTATTATATGGAGTAATGATTGTGTTATGCGATTCTCAGGTGGTTAAATTGGTTAATGTAGAGCTCTTGGCACATCATAAGAATGTGAGTGCACTGTCCTGTGTGTAGCTATCACCCACATATCACAAATTAAATTAAAAACTTAGCTCCTTGGTCTCACCTGCCACATCTCAAGTGCCCAGCAGCCACATGTGGCCGGTGGTTGCTGTATGAGACGGTGTGGGTTATAGAACATTCTTGTCCTTGGAAGTCCCATCAGACAGTGCCGATCTCAGTGTTTGCTGGCACCACCTTAAAAATGTCATCTCCACCCTATCCGCTGGTGGCCGTCTGGGTAGGAACTTGCGCAGCTGAGAGGGTGTCGCTGTTGCTGTGATGCACACCCAGTCTGCGTGTTCGTGATGAGGCACACTGGCGAGGAAGCGGGCAGCTCCTGGCCCAGCCCGCCCGCACTTGCTCAGGTGGTGGAAGGCTCAGCTTGCCAACGTGCCAAGTCATTCGGCTGTCCGGGAGCGCCGGCAGAGCAGACGTATCCCCAGATGTATCCGAGCCGAACACAGTAGATCTCAGACTTGGTCCTGGGGTTAGACAGACCTGGTCAAGCCCTGCCTCTGCCGCTGGCTGCTTGTGTGACTTGGGGCAACTTAATCAAACTCTCTGGGTTCGGGTTTCTCATGGAAAAGGGGGATAGAGTCTGTGTCACAGAGTCCTTATAAAGAACGTGATAAATTCCTCCAGAACAAAGTACCGCCATATTGCACAGAGCTGGTAAATGCAGCAGATGTTAGATCTTGCTCACCGATGCCGCACATAATTGAGCTAAGAGTTAAGAGCTCAGTAAATATTTGTAAAATGAATAAAGGAACATCTGTTCCCTTTTGCATCTTGATCGGGCAAAATCAAACAGCAAAATATCTGACTTGCGGTTTCATTTTTCTGGAAACAAAACAATCACACCCTGTGGTATGGTGTGTAATGGGGCATTCAGGCTACCTGTGTTACCTTAAAGGTTGTCGACATTACCCTGACGTGTGCAAAAGCAGTGTGTGAGTAGTGTGAATGACTGGAAAGAGTTGCTAGCTTTATAAAATACATGTACTATTTTCACAATCTTATATTACGCAGCCGAGAAACCTACAATGCGCTTACTAATTGGTTAACAGATGCCAGAATGCTAGCGAGTCAGAACATTGTGATCATCCTCTGTGGGAACAAGAAGGACCTGGATGCAGATCGTGAAGTTACTTTCTTAGAAGCTTCCAGATTTGCTCAAGAAAATGGCAAGTGACCTTTTACCTACTACTGCTTTTCAAATGGGCAGATTTGGGGGTAATAACATTGCTTTGAATTTACACCTATTGGAATTTTAAGATTAAACGTTACTCAAGAAATGTGAAATTTCCCAGTGTTTTCAGTAAAGTTAGACTTACTTAGCATATTTTCACTATACTGCATTCTGCCTACAAAGGTTATGATGATGATAAAAGCAAATGTACTAATATTCTGTTATGACTTTTTGGTCTAAGCACAGGCCTTGGTCTAAAGTTAAGTTTGTAATAATTTTTAAAGGCCCTAATCGCATGATGGCCTGTCCTTTTTTCTAATGTAATTTGGAGCTAATTTGGTAAAACGTTAGTTCTAAATAGAAGGGGAAAATGGTGGAAGAAATACTGGGTTCATTGGTTTTATTTTACTTACGTTAAATTGAAGTCATTTGGTTATATGCCTTTGAAAATTCTCTGAATTTCCATATAGAAAACCAGAGAATGACACATAAAATTAATGGTTGCTTATAGATACGGAATGATCAGAATTGAGACATTTTAAAGAACTTTAATTTTTAGAACCAGTCAAGAACTTAAAATATCCTAGTCTCGATTTTCAGTTGGACTCTAGGACTACCAAATTATATTCTTACAAATTGACTGGTTTTATGCTAAGAAAATAAGCATGTGAGAAGAACAGAAGCTATCGTGAGCTTGTAAATACAGAAGCAAGGGTTAGTAACTGCTCTGGTGGGTAAGAAAAGTATGAGTCCAGGGAGGACCTCGTCACCGGCAGGATGAGAAGCTGCAGTGTAGCACCCCCCCCGCCCCGTGGTATCTGTGGTGACGTGAAGAGTATTGGGAGAATATTCGTCTCGTGTTGACCGCTGGGCGGCTTCAGGCAGCCTGCTTCCTCACCGTGCATCTTCAGTAGACGAGGGCCAGCACAAGATACCCGACGCTGGTGAGGAAGGCTGAGAGTTCTTCTAGCATTTAACAAAATATATTGACATTTATTGATTCTGTATTTGCAGAAATATGTGGTTTTTAAGTAACAGATTCCATTTTGCCTGCTCTTCGGAGAGAATCCTCAACAGGCTGTCGGTATCTCAGTTGTGATCGCCTTCTAAACGTAGCTTCGCATTTTGTTTGCTGTCACTTTTAGAGCTGATGTTTTTGGAAACAAGTGCACTAACGGGGGAGAATGTGGAAGAGGCCTTTGTACAATGTGCGAGAAAAATACTTAACAAAATTGAATCAGGTAAAAGGCTTTCCATTAATAAACTTGTCTTCAGCATATTTTACTCTCTAGCTCAGGAGTACCACTTTTTAATTTTCCAGGCGTGATTTGGTCAAAGAGCATTCTCTCTACCCCTGCCAACCTCAAATTGCCACTTACGGTCTCGAAGGCCTTGCCCCCGTGGCTGAGGCAAGGGCCCCACTTTTCCAGAATGGCTTTGTTGCACCACTGGTGAAAGAGGATGGGCAGTCAGGGTTTCGGCGACAGTTTGCTTTTAGAACCCCAGCCTTTTGTGGTCCACGGCTTAGAGCAGGAAGATTGGATCTTCGTCCAGTCTCTGCCAACACCTCGCTAGCCCTGCTGGGCCAGTGGTCCCGTGGCATGATGGGGGACCGCCTGTGTGAGATTAGGAGAGTTATAGATACGTGCGTGATGTTGATACTTGCAGCTTGGGCATCATGGAGAGTTATTCCTGAAGCTAACTGAGTGTGCCTCAGTAGTAACCGGTCTCATTAGTGTTGTATTTGTTGCTTCAGGAAAAGTGAATTTAAAATAATCCTAATTTAGGCAGCTGACAAAATACTCTGTAATTGTCATTTATTAAAGTTGAGTTTTGGGGCGCCTGGGTGGCTCAGTCGGTTAAGCGGCTGCTTTCAGCTCAGGTCATGATCCCAGGGTTCTGGGATCGAGCCCCGCATCAGGCTCCTTGCTCAGCAGGGAGCCTGCTGCTCCCCGCCTCTTGTGCTCTCTCTCTGTCAAGTAAATAAATAAATAAAATCTTTAAAAAAAAATAAAGTTGAGTTAAAGATTACCAAAATTATATGTGGACATTCACTTTTTAATTGATTCACTCAAATATCTGAATGTCTGTTCTTTGTCAGGTGCTGGGATACAAAAATGATTTAAACATAACCCCTGCCCTCAAGAACCTCTTTCATGGGAGACAGCAAAAAATAATTACAATACGGTGTGGTGGTACAATAACTGAAGGGTGCATAGGATCCTGGGATCACACAGAGAAGGGGAACCTGCCTAGCTAGGTCATGGAGGTCGTGTCCGAGAGAGTTCCAAGAGGAGGTGACAGCCGAGCTCAGTCTTTCACAATGTGAGGAAGAGTGAACTGGCTAAGGGAGTGGGGAGGAGGTTAGTCCAGCAGAGGGACAGCATGATTTGAAAGTAACCGGAAAGTAGAAATCACTAGAACAGAGAGACTGCGGTGGGATGGCAGGTGAGAAGGTTGGAGAGGCGGCAGCCAGGCTAGTGATTCTCATCAGGGATCTGGAACTTTATCTTGTGGGTTACTGAGTCTCAAGCCTGGCTGTACACTAGAGTCACCTGGGATGCAGGAAAACTCAGATCCCAGGCCCCACCTGTCGAGATGCTGATTAATTGGGCTTAAGTATGGTTTAGGCCTCAGCATTTCCAAAAGTGCTCTTATGTGATTGATTGTAGAGGACTGGAAGCTATTCAAGGATGGTAAGCAGTGAGCAATATGGTCAGGTTGGGACTTGAGATAAATCATGTATGTAGGTGCCATGTTGAGGACAGATTGAAAGGACAGGAGACCAGGATGCCAATTAAGGCATTTTTGAGTAATCCGAGTAAACGATGACTGATGAAAGCTTTAAGGAGGATGTGGAAGTAGAGACGAAGAGATACAGATGAATCCAAGAAATATTTTGGTAGTAGCACCATATGACTCATGTGCTAAATAGGGCAGGGCAACTGATTTGGGGGTGGGGAGTGGTGGTGAGGAGGTGGGGTCAGGAAGGCATGAGGAGCCAAGGGTAACTAGATGTCACACTTGGGTAACTTGGGAAAGAGATGTCATTAAACCAGAGGATAAGCAGTTCCAGGGGATGTAGATGATTCTGTTCTGGACGTGTTCCCTTTGCAGTACCACTGGCACAAGGCCATGGGATTATCTCATAAGCTCTGGGGAGAAGTCTGGGCTGGCCGTATACATTTGGAAGCCATCAGTACCTAGGAGTAGTTGAAACTATGAAAGGAATGTGATCATCCGAGAGCAGTTGAGAATGAGAAAAGCAGTGATCAAAAGCAGAACCTTGGAGACAGAGATGGAGAAGAGGAACCTAGAAAAGAGAAAGAGAAGGAAATGGTCAGAGATGTATGGAAAGAACCAGGGGAAAGTGGGTATCATTTCAGCCAAAACGATAAGAGAGTCAAAAACTTGTTCACTATCAAATGCAATAGAGAACAGTCTCCTCAGCTAAGAACTAAACTAAAAAATATCCACTGGGATGGGTAATAGGAAGTCACTGGGCATGTTTATCAAGAACAGCTCCGGTAGAATTATGAAAACAGAAGACAGCAATTGAGGAACAAAGAGGAGGTGAGAAAGTAGAGTGAGTGTTGACTCCTCTCTTGAAAAGAAAAGGTATAGTAGGGTCCAAAGGGTTAACTTAAAGAGGTTTTGGTGATGGAAGAAATGTTAGCATGTGTGAATCCCGAGAGAAAACAAGGGAAGGGAAAGGAGAGGAGGGTGGAGAGATGACAGAGACAGTAGGGTGCTGGGTGAGGTGCAGGGAGAGAGGGTCAAGGGCCCAGATGGAAGAGAGGGACACTTCATCCTTGTGGATTTTCTTGATCTGAAAACAAAAAAATTTTTTTACTAAATTTGTCACAAAAACAACTGTTAACTTTTAAAGACTCTGTAACATTGTTATTAAAATTGGCTTGGTGTTGAGTATTATTAAGCTTAGCACAAGGTTTTATTTAATTACCTTGCTACCTTAATACTGCATCCATGGATATAGTACATATAAGTTGACTCAGAAAATTTTCAAGATGTATTTCTTCTGAGATCATCAAAATCATAATTACATCTAGGTGAAAAAATATAAAGGTGTAAGTTAAAATTTTTCAGCAGTACTTTAAATTTTCGGAACAGGCAGTACATTCATATGATTCAAAAACTGCTGTTTCCTCCTTTTTTTTTTTAAAGATTTATTTATTTATTAGAGAGAGAGCATGCACACATGTGAGCCTCCGGAGGGGCACAGGGAGGAGGAGAGAAGCAGACTCCCTGCTAAGGGTGGAGCCTGATGCTGGGCTCCATCTCACCACCCTGAAATCATGACCTGAGCTGAAATCAAGAGTGGGTCACTTAACTAGGTGAGACACCCAGGCCCCCCTCCTCCTCTTTTTTTACACAAACCTTAACATACTATAAATTCTGTACCTTGCTTTATGTACTTACTAGACCTGTGGATCATTAAATGAACATATAGAGACTTCCATATACATATGTATGCTAATACACATACATACATACATGTTGTGTGTGTGTGTGTAATATTCAGTTGTCTGTATTGCTATGATTTAACCAGTCTACTTTGGACATTTGGAGTATTGCCAGCATTTTGCTGTCACAAATAATATTGCAGTAAATAACCTTTTATATATCATTTCCCATGTGTGGAGTGTATGTATAGGATAAGTTCCCGGAAGTAGAATTGCTAGGTGAAAGAACATAAGCATTTGGAATTTAGGTAGAGGCTGTCAAATTCCTCCTAGCATGGTTGTAGCAATTTTTAATCCCACTATAATGAATAAAAGTGCTTATTTCACTGAAGCCATGTCCACAGGGTGTATTATCATACTTGGGTTCTTACCAGTCTGGTAAGTAGGAAATGGTCTCTTTGTAGCTTAATTTTAAATTAATTTATCTTTGTATACACAATATATTCATATAATTCCAAATGCAAAAAATAAAAAGCGGATACAGTGAAAGTCTCCCTCCATTACAACCCCTCTTCTGTCCCCAAGCCATCTAAAACTCCTTCTTGAAGTCAGCTATTATTCTCACTTTTTTTTTAAGATTTTATTTATTTACTTGAGAGAGAGAGAGCAGAGCAGGAGGGAGGGGCAGAGAGAAGCAGGCTCCCCGCTGAGCAAGGAGCCCGATGTGGGGCTCGATCCCAGGACCCTGCGATCACGACCTGAGCCGAAGGCAGATGCTTAACCGACTGAGCCACCCAGGCGCCCCTATTCTCACTTCTTCTTGTCTCCTTCCAAAGATATTTTTATGCCCATACAAGAAAACATGTATATATTTTTTCCTTATTATTCAAACCAACTGTTTATACACAGTGCTGCTCTGCACTTTGCTTTTTTCACTTAGTATATTTTTGGGATCACAGAAACATAGAAGCTTTTTTTAAAGAAGACTTGCTTGGTCCTCAGGTGAGCTGGACCCAGAAAGAATGGGCTCTGGTATTCAGTATGGGGATGCCGCCTTGAGACAGCTGCGGTCACCACGTCGCGCACAGGCCCCAAGCGCTCAGGAATGTGGTTGTTAGGAGCAGCGCCAGAGTGTACAGGTAGGTGCTCTCATCACAGCATCTGTGCTGGCCCTCTTACCTTAAACTCTGTTCACTGCTCGGGAGTTCTACACCTGCTTAACTATACAGCTTGTCATTGCTTTTGCAGCTACATTATGAAACCCAGAGGTGATTGTATAATTAAAATTAAATATTTCAACAACAGTGGAATACACATTCTGAGCTATAAAACACAGTTGAACAAATTTAAAAGAATAGAAATCATACAGACTACAGTGGAATTAAACTAGAAGTCATTAACAGATAACTGGAAAATCCAAAATATGTGGAGGTTAAACAACAGAGTTTTAAGTAACTCATGGGTCAAAGAAGAAATCTCAAGAGGAATTTAAAAACATTTGAACTAAATGAAATTCAAAACACAACTTATCAAAATGTGGGGGGATGCCATGTAAGCAGTGCTTAGGGGGAAATTTATAGCATTGAATGCATACTTAGAAAAGAAAAAAGATCTAAAATCAGTCATCTAAGTGTCCACAATAGGAAACTAGAAAAAGAAGAGCAAACTAAATCCAAAGTAGGCAGAAGAAATAATAAGAATTACAGCAGAAATTAATGAAATTAAAACTAGAAAGTCAGTGGAGAAGAATCAACAAAATCAAAGCTGATTCTTTGAAAAGATCAATAAAATCAACAAGCCTATAACCAGGCTAATTAAGAAAAAGGGGAGGGACATAAATTACTAATATCTGAAATGAAAGAGGGGACATCACTGCAGATCCTATGGACATTAAAAGGATAATGAAGGAACACTATGAATAATTCTATGCCCACAAACTTGATAACATAAATGAAACAGACCGATTCCTTAAAAGACATGATTTGCCAAAATTCAAGAAAAAAATAGACAATTTGAATAGGTCTACATCTATTAAAGAAATCGAACCAATAATAATCTTCCAAAACAGAACGTACCGGGCCCAGATGGGTTCTCTGGTGAATACTACCAAACATTTAAGGAAGAAATTACACCATTTCTCTACAATCTCTTTCACAGGAGAGAAGCAGATGGAGTATTTCCTGCCTCATTCTATGAGGCCCGCATTACCCTAATTCCAAAACCAAAAACATTACAAGAAAACTACAGCCCAATATCTCTCATGATAGATGCAAAAATCCTCAATAAAATATTAGCAAATCAAATCCAGCAATGTACAAAAAGAATTATAAACCACATCCAAGTGGGATTTATCCCAGGTATGCATAACGGGTTCAGTGTTCCAAACTCAGTTCATGTAATCCATCACATCAATGAACTAAAGAAGAAAAATTATATGATCCTATCAAGAGAAAAATCATTTGACAAAATCTAACACCCATTCACGATGAAAATTCTCAGTGAACTAGGAATAGAGGGGAATTTCCTCAGCTTGGTAAAGAATATCTATGGAAAACTACCACTAACATCATCAAACTTGAAGTTTTCCCACTATTAAAAGGAACAAGGTGAGGATGTCCCCTCCCACCACTCCTTTTCAACATCATCCTGGAAGTTCTAGCTAAGATAAGAAAAGGAAATAAAAGGTATACAGATGGGAAGGAAGAAGTTAACTGTCTTTGTTCACAGATGACATGCTCATCTATAATGTAGAAAATCTAAAAGAATCCACAGACTCCTACCTAAGCGCTTATACAGCACGGTTATATAGCAGGATACAAGGTTAGTAGACAAAGTCAATCACTTTTCTCTGTATCACTGATGAACAAGTGCAGTTTGAAAATAAAAACAATACTCTTTACATTAGCATTCAAAAAAAGAAAATGCTTAGGTATAATTCTGACAAAATATGTACAAGATCTATATGAGGAAGACCAAACTGATTCTCATGTTTCTATGGAGTGGCAAGACCCCGAATAGCCAACACAGGATTGAAGGAGAAGAACAAAGTCGGAGGACTGGCTGCTGGAGTTCAAGACACTATCCAGCTATGGTAGTCAAGACAGTTTGGTATTGATGAAAGAAGAAACAAATAGATCAGTGGAGGAGAATAGGGAGCCCAGAAATACACCCACATAAGTATAGTCAACTGATCTTCGATGAAGGAGCAAAGACAGTCTCTTCCACAAAGGTTGCTGGAACAACTGGACATCTGCATGCAAAAAACAATCTAGACACAGACCTTCCACACTTCACAAAAATTAACTCAAAATGGATCATAGACCCAAATGTAAAACATGAAACTATAAAACTCCTACAAGATAACGTAGGAAAAAAACCTAGACTTTTTAGATACAACACCAAAGGTCCATGAAAGACCTCATTGATAAGCTGGACTCCATTACAAAACTTCTGCTCGAGGAAAGACAACAAGAGATGCCGCAGACCGTGAGAAAATATTTCTAAAAGACATGTAATAAAGGATTGTTACCAGATAGACAAAGAGCCCTTCAAACTTAACAGTACGAAAACAACCCAATTTAAAAATGGGCCAAAGACTATACCAGACACTTCACCAAAGAAGACAGTAAGTATATGAAAAGATACTGCACAGCATACATATGTCGTCAGGGAAATGCAAATTAAAACAACAATGAGATAGCACTACAACATACTTGTTAGAATGGCCAAAATACAGGCCGCTGACAACACCAAATACTAGCAAGAATGTGGAGCAGTCGGAACTGTTACTCATTGCTGGTGAGAATGCAAAATGGTACGGCCACTTTGGAAGACAGTGTGGCAGCTTCTTACAAAGTAAACATATCTGTAAATATGGTCCAGCAGTCTCACTCCCTTGGTATTTACCCAAAGGAGGTGAAAACACAAAAATCTGGGGCCCCTGGCTGGCTCAGCCGGTAGAGCATGTGACTCTGACTCTCAAGGCCATGAATTCAAGCCCCACGTTGGGCGTGGAGCCTACTTAAAAAGAAAAAAAGCAAAGAAAACACAAAAATCTGCACATGGATGTTTATAGCAGCTTTATTCGTAATTACCAAAACTTGTAAACAAGTAAAATGGCCTTCAGCAAATGGATAACTAAACTGCGTACATCCAAACAATGGACTATTATTTGGTGCTAAAAAGAAATGAGCTATCAAGCCATGAAAAAGTGGAGAGGAACTTTCCTTGCATATTACTAAGTGAATGACACCAATCTGAAGAAAAGGCTACATACTGTATGATTCCAACACTATGACATTCTGGAAAAGGCAAAACTATGACAATAATAAAAAGATCAGTGGTTGTCAGGGTTTGGGGATGGGAGGGATGAATAGACAGAGCATAGACAATATTTGGGGCAGCAAAAATACTCTGTATAATACCGTAATGATGGATACATGTCATTATATATTTGTCCAAACCCATACAATGTACAGCATCAGGGCTGAACCACAATGTAAATACTGGACTTTGGGTGATGACGATGTGTCAGTGTAGCTTCATCAGCCGTAACAGATGTACCTCTCTGGTTCGGGATGTCGCTGATGGGGGAGGCTCTGCATCTGTGAGGTCAGGGGGCATATGGGAAATCTATAGACTTTTCCCTCCCTTGTGCTGTGAACCTGAAACTGCTCAAAGAAAGCCAAAATCTTATTAAGAAAAAAGTCGTAAAGCAACCACTAAAATAATATGACAAAGAGTTTTGGCTAATAAGCCAAATTTAAATTTGGAATTTAAATGGGATAAACACATAATTAATCTAAATAATCGAAAAGAAGGCAGAAGGAGGAAAGGAGGAGGAAAGAACAGAGCGGACAAATAGGAAATGGTAGATTAAACTCTACCAATTAAAAAAGATGTTCTGCTTGAAAGAATTTAAACTATAGGAAATCCTTAGGCTCATGGTCAGAAAGAAAGGAAGAGTGGTAGGTGGTGGGAGTAATTGGGATAGAGATTTTTCTGCCTTTGTATCCATAAGGAGACATTTTGGGTAAACTGAAGTCTAAATGTGTGGCTAAAATAGAAGGCTTATATATAAAATTCGCAAATGGAGATTTTTACCTTTCTAAAGCTTCCTTTTTCCCATTTACCACAGTGGACTTTTTTATGTTCCTACCATATTATCTAACAGGTGTAGGTAAGTTTAAGTAAAGTTGGAAGTTACGTTCACTAAGTCCCTGTGGGACTTTAAGCTATATTTGTCTGTACTTTTATAGTTATGCATATTTCTAAATCACTCTTTATATTTTTTAGGTGTTCATACAGTGGTATTTGGGACACAGTTGTCGGACCTTGAAGAAGAAGTTTTTTACCACCATCTTTTTCTACTTTATACAGAAGTGGATATTTGTGCGAAGAAAAATAATTTGGGGTGTTATGTAAGCCCGTAGATGTGGCAGAGCAAATCATATAATAACCAATCTCATTAAATGGACAGTACCATTAGGTGTGTACATGTATGTAAAAAGTTTCTGTTTCCTATTTCCCTTCTGCTCTTGGTTTCAGTCCTGACTGTGTGCTGTGTATACTCTTGTACAATCTGTCTCCACAGCATGGTAGCTGATGTAGGGTATGATAGAATGCTGCTCTAAATGCAGTCTAAAATTTTGTGTTTTTTTAATCATACGAACTGAAATCTGTTAATGGTGAGGTGTACTTTGATCATCATGTCAGGTATCTTGCACAGCGTACTCTTTAGGACCAGATAGTCAAAGACTCTGGCGTTGATGGCCAGTGCGGCGCTCACTTCGTTCCGTTTGCCACAGTCCACAAAGTGTTTACATAATCCACCCTTGAAATACTAGATCAGTAGTTCCTCACATACGGAAATAAAATGAAAAATGGAGTTTTTCCGTGAACTTCACACTGTCCAGCACTCCAGCGATTTGAAAGTATCTTCATCCAGATCAGTTCAGGAAGCATAGCCTGAGTACCTGCTGTGTTTTAGGCACTGTGATCGGCACTAAGGATTCTGTTACCTTCTCCCACACTTACTAGGAAGTCGATTCTGCTTTCAGCTCTTCGTAAATGTGATGGACGGTGTAATTTGAGGCTGCTCACCTGTTTCCGGTTGCTCTCTCTGGTCTCCCTGCTGGAAGACGTTGTTTGTTACTGTGCTTTTCCTGGGATTCAGTGTATGATGTCACTGCCTCTTTTTTGAGTCTTTTATTGTTTTGTGTTCATTTTAAGGAAACCCACTAAATCAAGTTAGTATTAAAGGAATACCACTCATTAAGAAATTTCTGTATAGCTTTCGCTGAATACTTAAATGCCTTACTACAGTTATCAAGTTGACATGTTTTTAATTCACCTAAGGTATATTGAAGTATAATATATATTGTATTACAAAGACTTGTTCTAATATTTTAAAATGTCAATGCAAAAAACATATAATAGAACTTTTCTTTAAAGTTGAAATGCAGTATTATTTAAGGTTAAAGGTTAAAAAGCATTCTTCACCTTCTGTATGTTCTTTCACTGTGACTTTTAGCTGCAGACTGATTGGTAGATCTCATTACCTTTCAGTTAGAAGCTGCCCACTGCTTTTGTTGTTTGATTTAATCAACAGAGCACAGTGGCATCACAGACTCTGGAAAGTGACTTGGATAAAAATATCAGTATGTATCTGTTTGGGGTATTTTAATTTTGCTTTTTTTAATGCCATGGATATTTCATTTTGACAAGTCAGAATGTGAAGCAAATTCTCAGACTGAACTACTTCTGGGACCTGGCTGGAAGAACATTCGATTCAATGTCTCATTTATGGTAGTTTTGCAGGCTGCTCACTTTTGAACAGCTTTTTGCATGGGATAGGAGCATGTCTGTTCTACCACATCGGCTTATTCAAAAGCAAGAATTTTTAAAATAAGATGTTAAGTTGGTTTATAAATGAGCCTATTCATTAAACCACAGGTCCTGCATATAATTCCACATCCTTTGACCAATAAAAGTTGCTGGAGAACCAAACCATGGTGGTTCTTAATAAAAGCCTTCGGGAGAAATGAAGAAGGAAGATAATTTAGTGTTGCTCAGTGGAATGTTTTCCAGCACCCTCAACCAATTCTCTGAGTCTGCAGAGATCCTAGCGGGGTGGCCAATTCCGTTCCCATTATTATCCACCTGGAGATAACGCAGATCCCACAGGTTCCGGGCGTGGTCTGCCCTGCCCCTCAACGCACACGCACACTTCAGCGCCAGGAGCAAGCAGGTTACCTGTGCTTCTGACCAACCAGCTACAAATCTGAGATTCCCACAACCCCCTTGCTTGGGTTTGATTCATTTGCTAGAATGGCTCACAGAACTGAGAAAAACCATTTACTTGCTAGAATGCTGATTTATTGCAAAGGATACAAACAACCAGATGAAAAGATACATAGGGCCCAGGCTGGAAGGGTCCCGAGCCCAGGAGCCCCTGTCCCCCTGGAGTTTGGGGTGCACCATCCTCCTAGCCAAGGATGTGTTCTTGTTCACCAACCTGGAGACTCATCAAATCGTGTTCCAGCCTTCCCCCCACCCTTCCCAAATGGAGGCAGTGGAGCTAAAATTTCCAGCCCCTCTAATGATTTGGTCTTTCTGGTGACCAGTCCCATCCTGAGGCTCAAGGGGCCCCACCCTACGGCACCTCATGAGCATAAACCCCAGCGTGCCCAGAGGGGATGTTTTGTGACTAACAGAACACACCCCATCACAGGAAATTTCAAGGGTTTTAGGAGCTCCTTGCCAGGAATCGGCAAAACCCAAATATATGTTATAGTCTAGTAAATGTTATGTATACATTTTCCACAACTTTCTAGGTTTTCAGGATACTCTTAATTCACATCTCTAGTAAAATATTTTTTCGGTCTTCCTAGAAAAATATTCTAAGCTCCATTTAAACTTGAAATTGTTCTTTTACAAGTCCAGCATTTAGTGAAAATAAGAACGTTGCAGTTTAGGAATCTAATGGTTTTGTTAAAAACCTATTTTTTGTGACTTATGAAATCTTAAGGAACATGGATTCCTAGCAGATCAGTATTATTCAGAGTGATGAAGAATCTGGTGTTAAAATTAGAAACTTGGGGCACCTGGGTGGCTCAGTCGGTTAAGCATCTGCCTTTGGCTCAGGTCATGATCTCCAGGTCCTGGGATCGAGCCATGAGTCGGGCTCCCTACTCGGGAGCCTGATTCTCCCTCTCCCTCTGCTGCTCCCTCTGCTTGTGTGAGCAAGCTCTCTCTCGCTCTCTCTCTCTGTCAAATAAATAAATAAAATCTTTTTAAAAAATAAAAAATAGGGGCGCCTGGGTGGCTCAAGTGGTTAAGCGTCTGCCTTCGGCTCAGGTCATGATCCCAGGGTCCTGGGATTGAGCCCCACATCGGGCTTCCTGCTCAGTGGGGAGCCTGCTTCTCCCTCTCCCCGCCCCTCATGCTCTCTCTCTGCCAAATAAATTTTTTTTTAATTTAAAAAATTAAAAATGAAATTAGAAATTTAAATCATTAGCAATTCAAACTGCAACACAGTAGGTGGTTTTTCATTTTCTGTCAAATTTATCCCTTTTTTTTCCTTTTTTTGGAGGGGAGATTTAGAGGGACCTTAAAACACCTGTGAATTATTAATCATTTTTTTTTTTATGTGCCAGTTGTAAAGTGAGTCCCTTTCCTAATCATTCTACCTGTTCATATACATATAATCGGAGTTTGTCCCAGTTGTTTCTTGGTTACTTCCCAATTATATTAAATTCTTCAAGGAGTTGTTTTTAGACTTCGAGAGGGATTTCTGTGAGGACACCCAGCAGATTCAGGAAGACCCGTGGCTGAGTGTCAGCCATCACCCTCTCAGGTGAGGAAATACGGCTTACTGTGAGAGGACGATCGTGCGGTCAGGGAACCTCTGTGTGTGTCTTTGCTCTACCTTTGCCCCATTTTTCAATGCTGTAGTATTTGGAAACATCCAAGGCATTTGTCATTGCACCCCAAACTAGTTCGGTATGCATCTCTGAAAAGAATTTCTTTTTAATTTTATATAATCACCATACCATTGAGAACTTTTTTTTTTTTTTAAGATTTTATTTATTTGACAGAGACACAGCGAGAGAGGGAACACAGCAGGGGGAGTGGGAGAGGGAGAAGCAGGCTTCCCGCGGAGCAGGGAGCTCGATGCGGGTCTGGATCCCAGGAGTCCGGGATCGTGACCTGAGCCGAAGGCAGACGCATAAGGACTGAGCCACCCAGGCGCCCCACCATTGAGAACTTCTTAAAAGACACGGATACAAAGCCAAGATGGTTATGTTTTTTCTTATCTTGCAATTATATAAAGTTTTCTGGCAGGTACTGAGAAAGCAAAATGCACATCTTCCGTACCGTATTTTCGGAGCGTGTGGTTAACTGTGCCGGCAGCGCCGTCCCTGGCCCCGGGGACCCCTGTGCCTGCAGCAGGGACGCCAGGACGGCCAGCACAGCATCAAATAAAATGCTGATTTCTGTATGGGGGGGGAGCTCAAATCGTTTTACATCGAATTTGTTTTTTGTAATAGGAGTACTTCAGATTAAGTCTCCCGCATCATTCCCTTTTCCAGAAGAGTCATTGTTTGTTTCCATGGCCATAAATGTACATCACATACCCCGTAGTACGTATTATGCCCGTTTGCAGGGGAGAATGGTGCTTTTCTGTGACGCTCACGTTTCTCCGAATGCCCCTGCTTTCCCATTGCTTCTGTGCCTTTGCATGGACTGTGTTTTCCTCCCTTGTGACGCACCCCCACCGGCTCTGCAAGTCTGTCAGCTCAGCCCGCTTGTCCTGTAGGGGGCGCCGTAGCACCTCTGCTGGGAGCCTTCTCTAAGCCCCTTCCCGCCCCTGCGCATGTGCAGACACACTCTGCTCTTGGCATTCTCTGACCTAACCTTGCTTTTGATACTGATCACGTTTCTCTCTCTCTTATCCTTACTTGTCTTCTCTCCTGGGCTGAGACCTCCCGAGGACAGGGCTGCCTTCAGTGTGCCCAGGCCCGGCACAATGGAGGGCTTGTGGAAGGCACAGATGAGTCAGTTCTGTCCCCAGGACTTTCTAAAGTACTCGGATGGCCAGTCTATGCACTGCGAGATCCGATTTTGCAAAATCCCCGAAGGATGGTCATATGATCCTGCTAACTCCCTTTCTGGCTGGGAGGGAGTTTCATAACTCCTAGAGCCCTTTTCACATGACATCACCAAGCTGGTGAGGTGGAAGAGCCCAGCCTGCCCCCACAAAGATCCACTTGGACAGCTTTAGACAGCTATCCACAACATCAGCTCCAAGAGAGCTCAGGAGTCCACTTAAGAACGTCAACACAGTGGGACAGAAAGCCTGAGAATAACCATCAGAAAAGGGAAGAAGAAACAGCTTCGTTTTGCCTGCGTTCTTGCCTCCTCTTAGGCCGGCACTGCTCAGCACCGTGAGGACTCCCCAGCTGGGAAGAGTTCTCAGCAGGGAAGGGAGAGTGGAGGGAAGGACCAGTCTCCCTAGGCTTTGGGGGCACCACACAAAGGACCCGCTTCAGCTTTACCCCACCCGGAGGCCGGCAACGCTGAGACCTTGGAGACGGCTCAGAACAAGGCAGCGGGTCGAGGGCTGTCGGTAGCAGCCACGGTTGCCGGTGACCTGCTCTGCAGAGGACCCCGGCGGCTCGCACCCCTGCGGCTCACCCACGTGGGCCCCCCGCAGATTTCATTCTTTGTTGTTTGCCCCATTGCCAGATGCCTGGGTTCCTCTCTGCTCCCTGCCAGTGCCCCTGCCAGAGCCCGGGATCTGCAGCTCCACGGGTGCAAGATGCCAGCCCGAACCCCCCCGCCCCCATGCCGTAGCTGACCCCCAGTGCCACGCGCACACTTGCCCCTAGCCGCTCCAGCTGTGCACTCACAGGCCACCAGACTCGAATCACTGGTCCATCCTGCAGCCAGAGAAGTGCACACCAACCGCCGGGGTGCCCCAGCTGCATGCTTCTGGGCCTGCAGCTGGCCCAAACCCTTGTCGCTGGCTCTGGCCCCAGCCCCGGCCATGACACCAACACCTGCATCTGGCTCCCACAGCCAAGTATGTGCACACGCCTAGCCTGGCCGCTGCTGCCCGCCCCGGTCCCTAGCTACTGGACCTGAAGTCATCAGTGAGGATCCCGACAGCCCTTGAAGCCACCGCAGACGCCCCCCCCTTCCCCCCGCCCAGTGCTTGCCAAGGACCACGCAGTTGATGCTGTGAGCCTCAGTGGCCTGAACTACTGCAGCGTCAGACCTGGTGCTGCCGCACCCCCCGCACTTGGTACCCTGCACTACTAGTCTTGGGGACAGCACGCTCCAGCAGCCCCCCTTCACGGGTGACAGTCTTCCCTTACAGAAGCCAGTCCATAAAGTCAAGGAGGTGACTGCTTCTTCAAACTCACATACACCTACACAAGGTGACAGGGATCACAAAGAACTGGGGAACACAACACCACCAAAGGAACACCGTGAACTTCCAGTAGCTGACCCCCAAAGGAATGGCGATACATGAATTGCCTGATGAAGAATTCAAAACAGTCGTTCTGGAAGATGCTCAGAGAACTACAAGAAAACAAACAGTTTAACAAAATCAGAAAAACACAAGAACAAAATGAGTTCAACAAAGAGAAAACATAAAAAAGAACCAAACAAATGTTGGAGCTGGAGAATACAACTGTTAAACCGAAGAATTCAGTAGAGAGCTTCAACAGTAGACTGGAATGAACAGTAGGAAGAATCCATGAGCTTAAAGGCAGATGGTATGAAATTACCCAGAGAAACAAAGAAAGAATGAAAAGGAATGAAGAAAGCCTACGGGACTTACGGAACACAATTAACAAACAATCTCCCCCGGATGCCTGGGTGGCTCAGCCGGTTAAGCATCTGCCTTCGGCTCAGGTCATGATCCTGGAGTCCTGGGATCGAGTCCTGCATCGGCTGCTTTTGGCTCAGGTCGTGGTCTGGGGATCCTGGGATCGAGC